TATATTTCAAGGGTAATTCAGGTGAAATGATTGGATTTGAGACGACTTATTGTGCAAAATGTCGTTATTATATACTATATTTCAAGGGTAATTCAGGTGAAATGATTGGATTTGAGACGACTTATTGTGCAAAATGTCGTTATTATATACAGTATTTCAAGGGTAATTCAGGTGAAATGATTGGATTTGAGACGACTTATTGTGCAAAATGTCGTTATTATATACAATATTTCAAGGGTAATTCAGGTGAAATGATTGGATTTTTCAGGCTAGAAACTAATTAGATCAAAGATTAGAATCCAGCTCTATTTATTTCAGACTTCTTTGAGAAACGTATTACTAAGAACTATTTCGGGTTATGTTAGATAAAAGGTAAGTTTATAGTTTTATCAATCAGAGACTTCTTTGAGAAACATATTGAGAACTGTCTTAGATCGTATAAAACACTGGTTATATATGCATATATCGCCAGACACACAAAAATCAACATATATTAATGCATTGGGTATAAGGGATTTCAAGAATTGAAATAGTGTAAGTGTCTTGTCTTCAGGATTGACAAAAACAACACACTGATATATCACGAAAAGAGTAGATTGTGGTCTCATTTTCCGACATATTAAAAATCAATGCACATTCATCCACGTAGATTTTTTATGCTTATCACAGAACGTTGGACATGACACTGAACGTGATCCTCGTGAAACGATGCAAATGTGATTTTTTTTCCCTATATCATTCAAACAGAATATCACTTTCTTTCTATCTGGAAAGGTGGAGTTCTTTCCGGACAATCAAATTGATCATGATGGCGCCGAGCTGATAAACTGTCGTTCCCGCGAAGACCAGGTTGTCTGATTATACACAGCAATCTATCATTATTATCGCATAATGAAGCACGAAACACTTTTGTACGCAAGCAATCGCATGTTTTCTATCGTCAACCTTCATTCTTAGTATTGTCTAATTTGTCCACGTAAAATTCAAACCAAACCACTAAACTGTCAGTCAGATTGAATGCATTCGCACCTAAAATACCAAAAAAAATAATAATAAAAAACCTTTATTATCTGTGATAATCTCTTTATATTTGCCCTCAGGAAAGACGACATTCTAGAAATTTTGCTTTATTAATTGGCCATTCGAAAATCGATCATGGCGGCTCCTGCGCAGTAGTTGTATCCACCGAAACTTAAACAAAATGTATGTAATCTTAACCGGAATAATTGTCATGCTAATCCACCAGGGTGCTACAACTTATGAACTTTAATAACGGGGAAAATTATGTCAGAGTTTTTTTTTTATATTTTGGCTCTTGTAACGATGACAACGAGTTCCAGTGACATTACTAGCCCCAGTTTTGGTATATAGATCATAAAATGCTCGAGCGAAAGAAAACGTTCATCTGATGACAAAAGTTAATATTCTTGTTTCTTTGACTGCTCAGTAATTATCAATAAGTCGTCACCTGAATTACCCTTGAAATATTGTATATAATAACGACATTTTGCACAACAAGTCGTCTCTACTCAAAACCCGTTGTTACAACATGTACGACATTCGTTTATCAAGCTCGTGCCGAAACAACGACAGTATATCGTACCACACTCTAGAATGGACTATCGTGTCTTGAAAATTAGTTATGGTAAAAGGTATTTACTGATGAATAAATTTCGTAAGAAGTTATTTACTGATGAATAACTTTCGTAAGAAATCGGGTAAATATTTTATCTTGCCATTGATAGCGTAAAATAATTTGAATAATAATTTTAAAGTAGAAAAAGACTCTCAAAGATCGCGAGTTTAGTCGGTCAGTTTCAAACAAGTTCAACCATTTTAAACGCCATATAAGGTCTGATTATATATATATGTTTATTGGTAGGTTAGTTAAAAAAAACAGTGAACGAATGAGAATCATTGTATGCACACACACACACACAAATGTTCATTAATTTGGAGGTTTTGACGTAACTACAGTTTATATGATATTTTAGTCCGCAGAAAAGGTGTTTCAACTGTTATTATAAAAACAAAATCGACTATTATCAAGACGACTTAAATAACCTTCACAAATCTTTCGTTTGAGAATTTATTTTTCTCTGGGAAGTCCCTGCCGCTAGGGGGCTTATTCAACTTACATAGCCACTCACCTTTCGACATTTTGCTGTGGGTCTTGTTTGTCGTGTTTCCGTATTTGTACTTGTCCTCAATCATGGCGACGTAACTGCATGGAAAGTCATCGATGCTTTCCAAATCATAGTATTCGGCTTTCCCATAGAGTAGGGCGTCTATCTCTTCTTCTAGAGTATACGGAGACGTCACGTGTGTATCCTGACTTTGAATTAATTTGGATCTTAAATTGGAACACAACGTATCTTTTAGAATAGATCTAGAATGCTTTTTCCTGCGCTGAGGAATATTAATATCTAAGACTTTGTCTGAAAGAGGTACAACGTGCACATCTGAATTAAATCTCACAGTTTTATGGTAGGCAGATGAACCTGAAGACATGGATGAAGATGAAACTGAAGAAGAACTTGATGGTTTAGAGGTGTCTGTACACGAATAGTATTTGCTACAAGAAAGTTCATTGATGGACATCAAATCCTCGTGAGATGGATACGTATGGCCTTGAGAACAAAACCTGTCATGAGCTGATTCTAGAACACTATTTTTTGAATCTCTTTCTCGTATAGGCCGAGTTCTGATATTTTGTAAAGATTCATCTTTAGAGCGTTTCTCAGAAAATAAACAAGAACAGTGAGGAATGGCACAAGGTTTTTGAGAACTGTTCTTGCAGCAACAAGCGCTACGGGAACCCTCCGGATAATTTGTGATGAAGGCAGGTCTTTCACGAGATATAGGAATGTCGTTAGTTGATGTCTGCTGAGTGGAATTCGAGATGTCAGAAGAACTTTCAACAGTGGAAGAATGTGAAGCGGAAATTTCGCAGTTTTTAATAGCACTCAACAAGGATTGCCTCAAATACATTAAATGATCAAGGTTCACGTCGTAAAACCCAGAATCATGTCTTCGAGAACTAACCTGATGACAATGCTTAGCTCGGGAACACTGCTTTCCCATTACCTTTGTGCCCATCAATATTTTTGGTTTAGTTCCTTCATTACCTTTGTTAGGTAAAGACCTATTGGTGCCGTCTAGGTGACAATTACGACTTGATTTCCCTGTTTCATTACCATAGATAGAGTTCTCTGGTACTTCTGGTGTCGGACAATGACTCTTGTAGCCACTATCAATTGAATTGGAACCAGCGTATCCAACTATCGAATCCTTGTCTCCGTCACACACTGAAGGATCCGTTTGTGGTTTTGATGAAGGTGGCTCTGCGTGTCTTCCCAATAATCGACGCTGTTGATAAACGCTGGAAAGATCGTAATAATCATCCGAGTCACAAACGTCGTAGGTCAAAGCATTAATTGTTTCCAACAGTGGATTAGTAGAAATTTCCGATTGACTTGAAGACCGATGATGACAAGTAAGCTGACCATAAGGAAAACGACGCGTTCCGTTCATTGTTCTAAATTTAGCTAACTTAGGCGAATAATTACAGACAGATGATCCAGAAGGTAATTGATCTCGCCTCAAATCTGAGCGTGAATCAACCAATGAAAATGTCTGAGCGAACCTCAAGAGATTGTTTGGGTGTGGTATGAAATTCACTTGGCACGATTCAGAGAGGTCCTCCACTTCTGATGTAGAGGGATCACTTTCGCAATAAACAGTTCTACTTTCTGGCTCTAAGTGAGTGGCTACAACATCTTCAAAGGTACTGTACATATAATACATCTGACGTGTGAAGTCATCACCTTGAAGACTCAGTTCTGCCTGCAAATGAAAATCAACATATGGGTTTATATCCTAACTATATGTCACTTCAACAACACTAACAAAAACAAAACCATTCCTACCACATGTATTTTAGTACAGGCAGTACCCTCACTAAAAAACTTTGTATATTATTAATCGAAAAAAAATGAAGCATTGATATAATACGCCATCCCACGAATAGTATTATATATATAGGTGTGTATACGTGTATATATTTATACACACACATCTGTATGTAATACACACAAACAAACTAAATTGAATGCAAGCTTAGTGTTTAACTCATTTAGAAGAATTTTAAAAACATTCAATAACGGGAGTAGAGAACATGCAAATATTTTGTCACATATACAAAAATTAAAATCCACAGAGCTTTAGTTTCACAAATGTCTATTGTCATTGGACGAAGCTAAAATAGTTTCCCACCTATCAGTTGTCATTGGAGCTCAAACAGTTTCACACTTATCAGTTGTCACTGGATGATGCTAAAATAGTTCCCACCTATCAGTTGTCATTGGAGCTCAAACAGTTTCACACTTATCAGTTGTCACTGGATGATGCTAAAATAGTTTCACACCTATCAGTTGTCATTGGAGTTAAAACAGTTTCACACTTATCAGTTGTCATTGGAGCTAAAATAGTTTCACACTTATCAGTTGTCACTGGATGATGCTAAAATAGTTTCACACTTATCAGTTGTCATTGGAGCTAAAATAGTTTCACACCTATCAGTTGTCATTGGAGCTAAAACAGTTTCACACTTATCAGTTGTCACTGGATGATGCTAAAATAGTTTCCCACCTATCAGTTGTCATTGGACGAAGCTAAAATAGTTTCCCACCTATCAGTTGTCATTGGAACTAAAACAGTTTCACACTTATCAGTTGTCATTGGATGATGCTAAACTTGCATGATTATTTCAAGCATTCAAATACCTGTGTATAAATATTCCTGGCAAACGGAAGTATTTTTTTTAAATAACACTGAATTCATAAAATGTTTTCAATTTTGGTTATTTTATGGTGTGTTAACCACATTAAAACAGCTTTCCTTAATTCACAATAATATTGGACAAAATTTAGGATTCTATTGTCACAACACAAACAAGCAGTTCATTGCACAGCTTTACTCTTAACAACAAATAAACAAATGATCTAAAGAACTCTGCGAAAAATATGTCCAGATGATACATTTGAACAGCTACGAGAAAATCATGAAAAGAATGACTCTAGGTACATAAACAAATTCGCCCTAACACTGACAAAATTCACTACACTTTTTAATAGGTCGAGCGTGGACAAATGGGTTGAATGCCGGGCTGCGAGTCCGAAGGTTTATAATTCGCACCGCGATATCGCCGAGCACGCTCCGCACTTTCAAGTGTACGTACGTTATAACAGTGACAGTACGCTCGGTTAGTTAATCCAAAGTACCAGACAAAGCCCTTGTGGCTGCCGGTCTACTGACTGACTGCCTTCCTTCTAGTTGGTGAGTAGCCCAAAATTAGGGACAGTTATCCCCGAATCTTAGGCTACCGTTCATGTTAAGAATGCCAAAGTCAGTTTCTAATTTGTAGACGTTTAAACTATAGAAGATAAGGATAGAGTTCGGTATATCCGAGGCTTCTCTGAGAAACGTATTACTACGAACTGTTTCAGGTCATGTCAGAAACTAATTAGATAGATGATTAGAATACATCTCTATGTCACGTTAGAAACTAATTAGATACAATATTATAATTCAGTTCTATTTATTTCAGACTTCTTTGAGAAAATTTTTATTAAGAACTGTTTAGTAGCGCAAGTCAGTAGAATGAATGTCGTACATGTCGTAACAACGGGTGTTGAGTATAGCGCAAGTCAGTAGAATGAATGTCGTACATGTAACAACGGGTGTTGAGTATAGTGAAAGTCAGTAGAATGAGGAAATTCGTGTCGTTAAATCTACTGTGCATTTCACATGAAATTAATCTCACATCTTTATATTTGCCAAACAAATACAAGAAAACTTACAGCATACTTCAAACAGGACCTTTTCATTACATTAGTCCCTCAGTGACTCAGCGGCAGGCTTGGAAGCTTACAAAGCTAAAAGTCTGGGTTCGACACCCGAGGAAAACAAAGCGTTGACAGGCCGCTGTGTAGCTTTGTGCTTAAAAAAAATAAATCATTACTTAACGCCCTGGCTCCCAAGAAGATGTCCGTGGGCCATGACTGACCCCCGAAATCGTGATTTCTGGCCGCGGGACTTCCATATTAAAAGTTCTATGAGGATAGTTTAGAACAAAGATTTCGTTTGTGTTCAATGATTTATGGTATAATAAGCTAGCCATTCGTAAGGTTACAGTTCCTTCCCGAAGTGTCATTTTTCT